AAGGCAGCTTGACCAATACTGCTATCCATAACAAATATCACAAGATCTGGTTTCTGGGAAACGAAATAGGAAGATTAGCATTTCTTATTCAAGCTAATCATATACCTGGAGCATAGTAAAATATACCGTTGCTTCAGCAACTTGTCGCATCTCTTCAAAAAGAGCAGCTTCTTGTTTGTGGCGTCCACTGGTATCAACAATTATTAGATCACAATTTTCCTTCTTAAATGTTTCAACACCATCAACTGCTATTTTCACAGGGTCTGACTCCGTGTAGCTGTTGCAGAAACATAAATTAAATCAAAATACAACACTACCTATAGTTTTACTTAGAACAGAAATGTAGTTCACCACAACCTAAATGGTTAATTACTAATAGCAGATTACTCAATCCATTCAGAAATATATGAGGATGTTCTTTCTGCTTTTCACGAGGGTTGAAGCAATTAGGAAAACGAGTTAAAAAAAATGTCCATTTCCATTTCAAGAGAGAGAGGGAAATCACTGGTGAGAGCTCTTGAGCAAACTAGCTTAAAGATACCCCAAAAAAACAAAAAAAACAGGTAGCTTAAGGACTTCTGTCCATAGTTGAAAATAAAAATTGAATCGAAATAAATATGCAACCCTAAGCCAAATTAGAAGGAAATATTTCATATTCTTACACATTGCATACTGATCGCGGGTCAGCTGACAGCTATTGACTTTAATCTCTTTGAAAAGTTTTTCTTTTAATATAAATGTTAGATTAGGAATAGGTATATACAATCCTACTTAGAATAGGTATTTCTCACAATAAGTGATCTCTTTGACAAGTCTTGGCAAAGAAAAAACGCAGCTCACACTTTGTCCTTCAATTCTTCATCTAAATTAACTTCAAAATATGTGATCCCTATGCCTGTGATATTGTTTATCAATTGAATTAACTAGACAGTACGTTGAGTGTCTTTAGAAAGTACGATGGAGAACATTCATGATCAACAGATTGTAGCCTCTCAAGCTTCTAAGAATGCAAAGAGAAGGTAACACTAATAGATTGAGAAGAGGAGATACCTCCCATAAAAGGGTATCTTGGCTTTTGTGGCATTCTGCTTCAATTGATCGAAAGCACCAGCTCTAAATGTATCAGCACACACTAAAGCTGGTTTCCAACCTTTTTTCTGGTGGTAATACGCATACTTTGTACATGTTGTTGTTTTTCCAGACCCTACAATAATAAATAATAAATAAATAAGGGCATCCATTTTAAACAGTGAAAAAGAAGAACGAGAAAAATGGAAGGGGATTAGGCTTGTCTTCACTCAAATTCCTATAGCCACTTTGAAAGTGACTTAGCTAAGTGATATTCACCAAATTGCTAAGGTATCATATGATATAAATCTAGAGTACAAAGTTGTATCAACTCACCTTGCAAACCAACAAACATGACAATACTAGGTTTCCCTTTTTTCGGTGTAAAAGAAGGTTTCCCAGGATCCAATATTTTGCAGAGCTCATTAAAAACCGCCTATACATGAGAAATTTCTTATCATAGGTCAATAAAAGAATGTGACAGAGTTGTAAAAAGTAAGTGAGTGTGTATTTGCTGACAGTTCTTTTTTTTTCCCCATTCTTTCTACTTCAAGTTCAAGCTGCTGTGACCATTTTCTTCTTCAGCCTTTTTTCCCTTTTTCTTCTCTTATTTCTTCTTCAGCTTTTATTCTCCTTTTTCTTCTCTTCAATAGAATAAACATGAGATTTCTTTACCTAGTCTTGAAGATGGTCACACGATGAACTTCATGCATCATTAGAGCACCTTAAACTTTTATAAATCTACAGTAAATTTTGTTTGAAGTAATGTTTGGGGGTTACATCTGAAAGTGTATCACATACTAAACAAGCAGAGGCGAATGGAGCTTTAAGGTACTAGATTCATCGAAACACAATACTTTTTGCGGAGCATTAATTTATGTGTCAACATCCACTAAAATTGCAATAAATAGTATATATAAACCTATAACTTTAAGAATATAATGTGTTCAAGATTGAAAACTTTGAAGTTTGAACCTATAAACCTTAAAATTTATATGAATTTGTTGCTGAGAATGACTTGCTAAATTCAGAAGTGTGCAACAGATTCTATGAAAATGTTGCTAAGTTGGTCCATGATATTACTGAGCAAGATATTATAACAAGCATCTTAACTTACAAGAATTTTTCGGAATTTTGCATTGGCTATTGCACAAAGAAAGACTAGGTCACTAGATAAATGAGTGTCTATCTATATAAGTTTAACTTTTAAGTTAATTCTTTATACTTTAGCTTTTGAATATTTTTCTACTTCCAAGTTGAATGGTGGTTCTTTCATTCCATACTTACAACATTTCTGCCATCAAAGTTCTAAGTCTAACTTGTATATCATTCGAATGTGAGAGGAACTGGCAGCATAATTGAACACGTAAGACAGAACTTGCAGCTTGATAGAACATGTAAGATAGAACTAGCAGCGTGATTGAACATGTATGACGAAGATTCAGTATATATAATTACTAAGCAAGGTTTCAATTTACGGCAAGAAAAATGAATCCATAATAAGCAAAGAGTTTCAAATTACTAGAACCAATTCAACAATGGCTTGAAAACCCCCAAACTTAAAATTAAACAAACGAACGAACCTGTTGGATGATCCTACGCTTGTTATGTCCAGCAGCAAGATCGTCAAGATTAACAATTTTCTTAATATTTGTGGTCATATCACGAACAAGCTTAAACTGAACATCAGCTTGAAGAAGGGCACGAGTGATTTCATTGAGGCATTCGTTCAGAACTTTCTCATCAATGATTGTAGCATTGCTCATCTGCTGGAGAGCACGCGATATGCTCCCTCCTAATTCTGCTAACACCATCTTGAATTAACAAATCGATTATCGAATCAAGAATTGGAACAGAACGATCGCTAATTAGGGCTAAGAATTATGAGATAATTTTAGGGTTTTGAATGAACAATTCCCCAAATGATGAATGAGGAAGATAATCTTGGTGAGGATGGAGAGGTTTGGAACTGAAAAATAAAACCCGTTTAACAGAAACAGCTAGTAATATTTTACTATTGACATAATAGTACAAATGCTCGGGTTCGGCTAATATCTACGTTCTTTAATCTAGATGATGCACAAATAAATATTTAAATTTATATATAATTGAAGTATTGAATAAATAGATATACATTCTATATGGTATCCTATTTAACAATATGTGGTCTTATATGACGTTCTACGAGTATTACGTCATTTAGAACATGTGTGTCTACTAGTTCAACTATGTGCACATTCAAAGTTGGAGCGCACGGGTGTTGGTTGAGGCTACGTTAAGGATCACTTTTATGTATTACTCCCTCTTTCTAACAATAGTTGTCCACTGTTAACTTGACACACCACTTAACAAACAATAAATAATAGGGATATTACTATTTTATCATTTGACTATATTAAATTTCATACTTTGAGAAATGTGTTAGATGATAAATAATACTCTCCCACTTCAAATTAATTGAATTATTGAGGTGTTTTACACTATTTAAGAAAAGAAGATTAAGACATAAATTAGGCATAACTTTTCATTTTTACCCTTATTAATTATTATCAAATTTATTATTAAAATAACTAAACATTAATTAATAACTAATTCCAACACTAACTAATGAAGGGTAAAATTGAAAGAACATTCTAAAAATAGTTTTAAAAATTGAACAATTAAGTTAATTTAAAAATGAAAAATGTCTCAACAATTCAATTAATTTGAAATGAAGGGAGTATTTAATAACAAGGGTAAGATAGACACAAAAGATAAATTATCTCTTGATTTTCTAAATTGGACAAGCAAGTATTATTGGGCGACTATTTTTAATAAATGGACAACTATTGTTGGACGGAGGAGGGAGTATGTTTTTATTAATAATTTTATTATTGATGATTCGTAACTAAACTAACTATAATTTGAGTTTGCTATAATGTGTATCAACTATATTTTCCGGTGAATATGACTAAAAATATAAATGTAAACTAACTGAAATTGAGTAAATCGCACAATGTGATATTTTTAAATGTGATAATTGAGTTAAAATCACTTCATAAAATATTCAAATCTTCTGGTTTGAAATGAGATTCTCAAATATTACTGTTGCAATGTTTATTCTGAACATTCAAAATGCAAAGATGAATTTTCTTATACAAAAATAAAAATCAAACAGATTTGCTCAGGTGTTCTTCATCCACAATCATACATGTTTTTACTCTTCAAATTATGCAAATGCATTCTTAAATTTATTGTATTGTGTTTGAATTTTGCATTTATCGATTTGATAAATATGTATTAATTTACAAGCAATGTTTATCATAATTATTGATTTTCAATCTTTGCATACATTGGTTGTCGCATTATCATGACTTATTAACTTTCGTTCGTCATTCATATAAACTTTTGATTTGCTTGTATTTTTTGAATTTTGCAAAATTATATAACAATGACAAGCACACATAAGATATTTAGGGAAATGGAAAGAAGAAGATTGTAATGTTGAATACATGATAGAAGCAATTATGTTAAGGAAATAAATATCATACAGTTAATTGGTTGAGGTAATTGTAAACCAGTTTGATATTGATTTGAGATTAAAATCTATCAAAATGAAAAACAAGATTGAAGATAGTGATACACCTCTAAAAATACACAACGAGATGAGTGGCAGAATATATGTCTAATTAAATAAGTAAACCAGGGAGTTTGGCAAGTATCCATTACACATAATATATTCAATAAGGATATCAAATATATTGTATTCGGTCATACAAACGCTTCAAGGAGAATGAATAGACGTTAATAGATACATTTGATACACAAATACTGGTTAGCATCAACATTCAACAACATCTCTCAGCTAACAGAGGTATGGAGTATCATGCTAGAAGCTGGTTAGCATCAAAACCTTCATTACACAAAAATGCACAACAAATACCTTTTGCCTATTAATAGAAGTAATTCATTGATTTTGCATATATATTATATTGAAGGCAGCGAAAAATTCATACCCAAGGAAACAAGATTATAATATGAACATCAACATTCAGCTTGATGATTTTAGACCTTCATATTGAAAATTTGGATGATGTCCTCGGTGTGCAACGTCATTGAAATCATCAGTACAAGTTGGCATGCCCTAGAAACCTTAAGTACAACTCTCAGATCTGACAACAGATATAATGATACGTTCAGTAAAACATCTGATATCAAGGTTCACAAGTGCCAGAAGGAATGCTCTTTCTAGGCTCCATCTCTTTCTTTGAACATTCGGCACATTAGAACACATCTGATTTGAATCCAAGAAGAGAGTTGCTTTGCTGAGCTTGCCGCAACTGTGTTTTTAAAGCATAATTGTTCATCTGTGAAATGACAATGAAATCAGAAAATCAAGAGTGGAGAAACTTTTATCTTCTTCAATTCCCTAAAACTGAAATGTACCTTTTTTATTTTTTTTACATCAACAGTTGCATAATTGTCAATCTGAAACATTTTTCTAGTAGAATGAAGATTACAAATAGTTTGATATGAAGACATAAAAGTTGCCATGAAACAATAGCAAAAAAGTATTATCAGATGATAAAAAGTCGAGCAAACGGGTACTAAGATATATTACAAATAGTTTGATTTGAAAGGCATTCCATTGATCTACTAGACCTAAATCCTAAAATAGTTATTGCTAACATCTATGTAGTTTTTCATCCCTTCTCTTAAAGGCATTTGATATTAATTTTGATTATTCTGAAAATATACTCAGGTAATTAAGAGGTTTATCCCTCTATCAGTTGTTAGGTTATTTGTTGTTAGCCATATGCCCATATTGGAGGTTAGATTTCCAGCTTTAATAGCATCGATGCTGACGCCTGCATTTAGTTAGGTTCTTTTTTGTTAACAATATGGAGGTTAAGTTTCCAATATTAATAACAATCATGCTAACGTTTGTACTCATTCTTACAGAATTAGGCAAGGGTGCCTAAGTTGCACTTGAGCCGAGGGTCTTTTGTAAATAATCTCACTACCTCGTGTGTATACTCTACCCTCCTCAAACCCCACTTGTGGGATTTCACTTGATATGTTGTTGTTGTTGGGAAGGGTACCGACGCCCTTTTCTCAGTGCAACGTATTTCAGCAACATTCTCTTCCTTCCAATTACTGTCAATCTCTCCATGTCACATTGAAAGGACTACTTCCCTTATTGATGCAAGGAATGCCACACAGATAAATTTAATTTAGCTATACAATTTCCTTTGATAATTCAATACGTACCCGTTTATCCTAGAAATGTCTGCTTAAGAAGACAATTCTAGAGTGCACATGTATATTGTTTAAGCAACTACTAATTTTAATATGAATATTACCAAAAGGGTTTGGACAAGCAATTACACCAAGAAAAGTAATCAGGCCTTCCATTGGTGAAGCAGATCAGCAAAGGATCTCAAAGTATCGTGACAATATAAAGTTCATTGCAATTTGTCGCAAGTCATGGCTAGGAAGAGGAATTTATGAAGGTAGAACATTTACCTCAAGAGTTCTCAATTGCTCTTTACCCTGAGCAATCAGCTGCTTTAATTGCTGCACTTCCTGGCTTCTTTCATCATACTCTTTCTGACGTTCATGTTGAATGACCACTGCCCTCTTGAGAATGGCATCATCTTTACGAAGCACTTCTATTTGCGCTTTCAACATTATATTTTCCTGCTAATTGATGAATAGTCAACACCCAAAGGAACAAATAAATGGAAGTAAATAAACCAGCAGGTCAAATTGTGGCAATTCTCATGAGCTGAAGCACCACAACCTTGCATTGTTGCTGATAAAATCAGGTAAACGAGTCTTGGAATGTATAGAGAACATTACTAACTATTTTCTTACCTAAGATATAGTAGTTATACCCAAAAAATTGTGATCGTGATTTCCTGCCCCTAATCCTTGGCAAGAAATTCATTTTCTAGACACCTAGAACTCATGGATTAAAATGGAAACATGCATTAACAGTACCAACCTTGTGAAAATTTTGAGCTGCCTCTGCACCTACACGTGAGCTAATGCATTTCTCTAAGCTCTCCAACAGTCTAGCAGCTCGAGCCCTGGCATCATCTATGCTTGTAGCAGTCATCATTTCCCGCACAAAACAATCCACCCATTCTGCACCATCGGCAGGAAAATTGTTTTCAGCTGAAGGATCTTCTGACTGAGCAGCCGGCCCAGTGGTAGGCTTCATACCTGTCAATTTTTCATGAAAATAAGAATCTTTCAATTGAAAATATTTGGAAATCACCTTCCTGATTAATCAAGGATTAACATAATGATACTACAATATACCCCTCCCCCCCCCAAATCCCACCAAGAGAAACGCAAATGCAAAATTTCAACTTCTTAACTGTAAATTTGAGAAGTGGTAAGTTAGTGATAGCTAGTAAGGCACCAGAAAGACAGAAAAACACTAGTTAACTTTCAATACGTAGATGTATACAAACAATTGCATGCACGTGAATGGACAGTTTTCATACACATGCAAATGACCTTCAGATTAAAAGGTGTCAAGTGGTGGATAGGGTCAACCTTGGACAAATTAAAACAAGTTGAGTACATGCCGTCCAACGTTTGATTAGGTCAAGATGAATTGATAAACGGGACATAACCAAAACTACCAAGCTCAAGTTCGAGGTTGGACAGGTTAAAATTTTACGAGCTAAAACTGAAAACTCCAAGGTGTCAAATAAATGGGTCAAATTTGGGGGTTAAAGCAGGTTGGAATTACTATAAACGTTACACTCCAACCCGCCCTAATGTTGATTTGGTCAATTTGGATTGATGTCATATCACAACCAGCCGTATTACGTTTTTGATGGGTTGCACTTTTATGGACCAAATTTGACACCCCCAACTCAAGTGAACTTATATCTGTAACAAATGATAATTGCCAATTACAAATTTCAGTATCTGTTTCTGACCAATTGGATGAGCACTATCATATCCTTCCAAAAAACCTTTAAGTAGTGTTTTTTCTTTGCGGGGGTGGGGTGGGCAATATGAGATCCTTAATAAGTATGACAGGAAACAGTCCTACATGCCACTGATATATTCACCAACTGGATATACATCTTTTCGTTCATTAATAATGGCACATATTTCTGTCAAGGATGATACAATTGTACTTCTCACAGACCAATTTTGCACTATTATGCAACTTAAGAGACAATTAATAAGAATAAGGTGGACATATACTTGATCTTAGCCAAAAAGCCTAGAAAGGTATACATTATTGTGTATATGTGCGTGCATATATATGTTTTTCCAATTTAACATAATTAGGATTCATCAACTTGTGTTGCACGGAGTAACTATGAAAAAACAAAACTTTTGAACATCACTTCAACCAGCAACCTGATGAAGGGATTGTGTGATTATACGTACCATTTCTGATCTCTTTTGTATTCGACTTTCCATCTGAATATCTGAGGCATAGCTCATGCAGGCTCCTAATAGCAGCATCCAGGTCATTGCCAGATTCTTCCAATGCTTTCTCAAGTAGCTGACAGTATTGAAAGCAAAATAATTGTTTTGATGACTCATTAGACAAAATACACCACAAGGTGTTTAACAGACTAAGTAATCAAATAAATCTCTATACCTGTATGTTATAAGAATGGCAACTTGGTGATTCTTACTATTTCTCATACCAGAACCTTTTTCAAGATTCAAAAGCATTGAAAATTCATAGAAAAAGCAGGTTAATACTGGATACGGTACAAAAAGAGGATTTTTTTTTCTTGGGGAAACCCGGTGCACTAAAGCTCCCGCTATGCGCAAGGTCCGAGGAAGGGCCCGACCACAAGGCCTATATTGTACGCATCCTTACCTTGCAGAAATGCAAGAGACTATTTTCAAGGCTTCAACCCGTAACCTCCTGGTCCCATGAGGCAACTTTACCAGTTACTCCAAGCTCCCTTCCCTTTGGTTACATAGTGTATACTTTATACTAATATGCATATATTATATGTATGTATACATATAATATACATATATTATACATACTACTCCCTAAGGAAGGAAGACTTTTAAAACTTGTGGTCTAACATGAATGATATAAATTTGTGTAGTTATAAATTATTTCATTAAGGGTAAAATGAATATTTCAAAGTTAAATTGTTACTTAATCTACAAATGTGTCATTCTTTTTTACACTAACTAAAAAGGAAAGTAAATGATATAAATTGAGACAGAGGGACCGGGTGGATATGTAGTCCATTTGAGAATATAATCAAATAATAAAAGTATGCTCTAAGCTTTTAAATGAGATGACACACACTCCAATATGATATAGAGCAGGCAGAGGTCCTGAGATCGTTTCCATGTGCTTGACCAATGAAAAAGAATCAAGCCCACACGTGAGGGGGTGTGTTAAGAATATAATCAAATAATAAACTTGTGCTCTCTCTCTCTCTCAAAGTTTAAGTTTTTAGATTTCAGCCATTTTTGATAAACTAGATGCCTCTATGTTGGTAACTATCCCAAAATAAGTAATAAACAGTATTATCACATTCTACTACTACTACTACGTCAACAATTAAAGAGTAACTACAACCATCAGGAACCAAGTGAAATTTATGAATGGAGAGATGAGAAAAGAACAATACCTGACAATCAATATCAGGAAATAAAGCTCTCAGCTGATCGAAGTGAATTGGAGAGATGCTGTAGGAAGAAGAACGAAGCTTCTTCAAAACCGGTGATGATGCTGAAATCGGCGATGGCGATTGTAAATCTTCGAAAAAGGATCTCTTGCGGCAAATAATTGCAGCCATTGATTAATCTCCCTTACAGTGATTGAGATATTGATTGTTTGATCGGGGATTTAAGGAGTAGGTCGGTAGGTTTAGGGGATTTGAAGCTTTTCTTGAGCTGTACTCCGCCTGGAGGAGGTGAGTCCCTTTATATAAGAAGGATTTTGTGGGCTGTTGAAAGCGGTGAACGTTGGCAAAAAGGATTTTCGAAAATATGTAAATGTTGTCAAGAAAGAAATAAAGGAATCCAATCCACTAGTGGGGTGATTACAAGTCAAATCGTAAAGTCAAACAGAATTGATAAATCAAATCAGATCGAAAAATAATAATTTGTGGTTTGGTTTGATTGGTTTGACGGTTGAAAAAAAACCGACCACTCTTGATTTGGTTTGGTTTGGTATTAAAAGAAAAAAAATCAAATCGAAATCAAACCAAACCGACATAATATATATAAAATTTTATTTTATTTATAGATAAAAAATATTATTTATAATCTACTTTGTTAATATTTTTAGTTAGTTTATAGTTTTCAATGTTTATATATTTTATTTCAAATTTGGGCTTGTAAAATTTGTAAATATTTTATTTTATATTAAGATCTGAAGTTACAATTATATTGTTATAGTTTTTCAAATTCGAAGTTAACAATTTACTTTGTAAATATTTTGTTTTGTATTCAGTTTGCATGTAGCCTTTTAATCTTATTAATTTCACATAATGAACGTTGATATTTCAAAAAAAATAATTTGTACTCTTGTGAATTTTACCGTCTTTTCGAAAATTTCTATTCATTTAACATTTTTTAAGTTTAGCTTATCACACAGATAAGTGAAAATATATTTAATCTCTTTTTCAAATACCGTATAGTTGTAAAAAAATGAAAAAATCGAAAAATAAAAAATAACCGAAAAAACCACCTTTATGTGGTTTTATTTGATTTTTAGATTTAATAAACAAACATAATTGGTTTAGTTTTTTTTTAATGAAAAAACAAATCAAACCGGCCTATGTACACCCCTAATTAGTACTTATAATAATGAAAGAATATAAGAAAAATTAGAGTACTAACTCCTTTATTTGGGATGGATTAAACCTAGAAAATAATTGGAAATGAGAGGTTATATTCTTTTTGAACTTTAAAAATTCTTAATGCCAACTAGTTTTGTAGTGTCAACTTCATCAGTAATGTAGTTATAATTGAATTCTAAGACTTGGGCAATAATTTACAATTGCCATTCAAGTTCCCCAAAAGATCTAAAGAATTAAAGTAGTAACACTCCTCCTATTTTTAATACTAGGCATAATAGTACGTAAATATATCCTTTTAACTCATATTTATGCTCTTTAACTTTAGGTGTGCACATGTAGACATCATACTTATATAAAGTTGAACAAATAGATACTACATGGAAATTTCCGTCGTACATGGTGTCCTATGTGTATTATGCTACATATGACGTATATGTCTACTTGTTTAACTTTATACAAGTTTAAGTGTCTACTTGTGTACACCCAAAGTTAAAACGTATAAATATAAAATGAATTCAAATTAAAAGGTACATTTATGTATTATGCTAATAGTGTTAAGTTTTGTTACATTTAAAACAGAAAGGAGAAAAAAAAACTGTACCAAAATCTCTAAACACTCACTTACAACAAACAAACTACAACAAAAACTAAAGCTGACCAAAGCAAACATCCAAGAGATGATAATAATTTGTAGCTATTTGATCTTACAAAACTTGCTCTGTTGAGTGTTGAAATGTGTTGTACTGTTTTTATTGGCTCTGTTTTAGAGTCCCCACAATGTCCAATCCCTGAATCCAACAATGTCTCTAAATCATCTCCAAGCCCATTTTCTTTATTGTAACAAAGCCCTTCATTATTTGAAAGCTTCATTTTCCTTCTCATTCTCCAAACCATTTCTCTTTTAAATGGAATAGGACCACTCAACATGTTATTGTTTAGCCTAAGCTCACTTATGTTATTTAAATTACCAAAACTCGATGGGATCGAACCATTTAACTTGTTCCCATCGAGATGAAGGACTCGTAGCTTAGGTAATCGGCCTAGAGAATTTGGTATTGGACCTTGAAGGTTCATGTTTGATAATCCTAAAATCATTAAGTCGTTGAAACCATCGAATACGTTATCCGGTAGATTAGCTGAGTCCATTGGATTTCCATTGAGGACTAAGGTTTGTAGAGAATTCAATTTCTTGAGTAACATTGGGAATGGGCTTGTTAGACTATTGTAGCTTAAATCCAAAAGGATGAGGTTGTTTAAGTTGTGGATCGAGTCAGGTATTGAACCAGAGAGGCGATTACGGCTCAGGTCTAGCTTTATAAGCGAATGACAGCTCATGAGTGTGGATGGAATTGAACCCGTAAGGTGATTTTGGTTGAGGTCCATGATATTTAACTGAGCAAAAGTCAAACTCGGAATTGAACTGGCTAGTTTGTTGTCACTCAAATCTAGTGACCTCAAACCGGTGATCCGGCCCAGAGAGATTGGTATTGAACCGTTAAGATTGTTTTTGTGAAGATCTAGAACTCTCAAATGAGTTAGGTTACCCAATTCATTAGGAATGGGCCCTGTGAACCCATTTTCCCTTAAAACTAGTGTTTGCAAAGTGGGCCCTAATTGGGCTAGAAATGCTGGAATGGGCTGAGGATTGTTACTAAAGCAACGATAGAAGAATAAAGTCCGAAGGTGTGGAAGTTTCCTAACTGAAGGTGAAATGAACGAATGACTCGAGTAACACGTAGGAAATGCTGTGTCATCAGACAATGCGCCGAAGGAAAGTGACACAACATGGTACACATTGTCATTATCCGGCATGCACTCAATACCATGCCATCGACCACGACAAACATCAAGGATATCGGTGGCCCAATCGTTCCCCGTAGCCCTCATAATGTCGTAAACGGCTTCTTGCTCATGAGGATCGGTTCGTGCACGATTATTATTCATCGAGAAGCCAGTTTGTGGAGCATCAACTAGAGCTGAAGGTGCACCGGAATCCGACATTATAACGGTGAATGACAATCCTAGAGGAAAGAAGAAAAAAGATAGTAGTAGTGTTATTTGTATTGAGAGAAAAAGGGCCATTTTGGACTATGAATGAAGTGACAAACTTGGTTGTATTTTTAGGGGTGTTTTATAAGTGACATAATATAAATATTTATGGCAATGACCAGGTTGGGGAGTGTGACAAGTGAATGAAAATTGGTGGGTGCATAAATTAAAGTAGGATAATAATGGATTCACGAGTATGAGGAGGAGATGAAATAAATGCATGAGTTTATGTTGTTAATGAACATTTAATACTATCACGGGGTTTGAGCCTGCTTCTACGTCAGTTAATCTAGGCCCACATACAAGTAGGCTTGCTTGGGTTCCATCTAAGGATCATAAATTTTGGGCCGAAACTCTCAACTCGAAATGATGTGTGGCGTTTTTAGAAGTGTTCGATCTTAAATTTTTGTCTTTGCTTAATAGATTATTTAGAAAATATTTTTAATTTTAAAAAATTCGCTAGAAAGAGTTTATGTTGCTTATTAGAAATAAATTCTAGCTTTTACCTATAAGAAAGAACTTATGGTTGATTGAGCAGGTTCATTGTCTTAAAATACCTAAAAATTTTGATAGAGAAAACTAATTTATGTTCACAACTTATGCCCAAACATTGTCTAGTGGTTTTTTTTCCAAGCCAAGACTATTTATATTAAATCCGTTAAGCATGATAAAAAATATCAAGACCATCCCTTTTTAAGGCCATTTGTGAACTTAATCCCTTGTCAAGTCTATTAAAATGAAATGTTTAAGAAAGAATAGAAAGAATAAGGGCCATTCATACAAATGCCCCTATTTTAGGTGGTATTCAATTTTTTATTTTTAAATTTTATTCTACGACATTTTAAGTTTATGTCGAGCGATTTAGGTCTGAATAAATAAATATTATGGTCAATAAATTTCCGTTAAATAAACTGTATAAACAAAACTTAAAGACCATCAAATTTTAAAATAAATGTTATAGACCACTCTAAAATAAAACTTCAAAAATGATGCAGAGTCTATAAGATTGAAAATTAGAATTAGTCTCAAGTCTCAATAGATGTCTAATCGCCTCTATTTTCGTTTTTAAATAAAGGAAAAGACGAACTTAAATCTTAGATTTTTTTGGGGGGAAATTTGGCAAAATTGATTTGTCCATAAAACTTGTCAAGTTTTGGCCGAAATTCAATTGGCAAAAACCCAAGATCCTAAATTCTAAAAAAGAAAGAAAGAAGAGAACAAGTGATTTTGAGAAAAAAAATAATCTAATTTTTGGATTGTTTTAAAATTTACCTTAAATTTTTATATTTTATATATAAAAGGGGGGGGGGGGGAAAATTATCTAAATACTCAACTTATTTTACCATATTCTTTAAAATTTCATACCGTTTGAGAAAATTACAAAAATCCTACTCTCTCCTATTCTCAGATACATCACTTTACGCGATATATCAGGACATTCGCTGAGTGATGTATTGGAAACCGAGGCGATGTATCAGGACGTGGAGGGATGTATCCGAAACCGGGACGCGATGTATCGGGACGTTTTGGGATGTACCCTACTCTCTCATATTCTCGGATACATCACTTTACACGATGAATCGTTCGATACATCATTTTACGCGATGTATCAGTTGGATACATCACTTTACACTATGTATCGGGACATGGAGTGATGTATCCGAAACACAGACGCGATGTATCGGGACATTGAGTGATGTATCCAAAACAGAGACGCAATGTATCGGGACGTTGAGATGTATTCAAAACTGGAATGCGATGTATCCGAATTTAAGGGATTTTTGTAATTTGAAAAAGAGCAGGATACTCATCAAAATGCATTCTTACTAAAGAAATTATTCATAGAATATGAGAAAATTCTACTGAAGAATAATAAATTACTATCGTTTTTATTATTTAATTTTTGCATCGATGGATCATTGCAGCTAATTGTAATAACAGTAATTTTATTATGGTTTTTGGATCTAGATTGTTGAAATTGAACTCACTTTGAACTAGGTGTAAATATTCAAAATACGGAGTTTTATCAAGAGCTTGTTTTTGCTGCATGCCAAAAGTGAATTATAAAAATTCTATACAAACCAACCAGTAGAGACACCATAACTAAATACTTCACAGTATAAGGTTGGAGATTCAAGTGTTTCCTTTTAGTAATTCTAGACATTTTCTTTATCACAAAGGTAATTAATAGTGGAAATCGAATCCACACACGTGTGAAAGACTTCCATCGATAACACTAAACTATAAACATCAGTCGTATATATATATATATGTACTGAAAATTATTCCTCAGAATCTGAATATGGTGGACAAGATCCATCATCTACATTGGCTAGTGGATTATACTCGGGAGAATTTGGATCAATGCATCCCGGTACTAGATCAAGATTGCAACGATCACCCTGCAATAGAATCGTGTCCCTTCTAATCAAATACATACTAGCTTTGAAATGAAACTCGAAACATAAAGATAGAGAAAGATGATTCTACTTACTCCATCCACATTCAAGTTACCAACCATCGCACATCTTGTGATCAAGATACTCGAGTCCGGGAAGATTGCCCTGTCACAGGCACCATCCTGGCTCAACTCCCGTGCAAGACCCTGCATAACAAAATAATTCCTCAATCATGATGACACATCACTCTTCAAAAGATTTACAATGCTAATTAAGTTTTATAGAGCAATACAAGCATCATACAACTATGCTATGCTGCACCCTAGATGGCAAAAGTCCAGTGGCCGATAGCATCACTAGCTTAGGCTCTGACACCCTAGTATATGACGGTAACAAGGAATCCCTTGTGAACCAGTAAGGACTACCTTGTTCATATTTTTTTTTCCCTCAAGCACAAGAGTAACATCGATAAGTAATAAAGAAATAAAGAGACCAAATTACCATCCCACAAACGACGTGGACTCCAACAATAAGTCCATACCAAAATTTGTATTGCAATTCATCGCGCTTGCAGCACAATTCAAGAACCAAACTTTAGGCAATCAGTGCCATATAAAGAGGTCAAACTCGTTCATAATACAAGTACCTCAGTTTGTTAACTAAAAGACTAGAACTGAATGTTTGCTACCTCAGTGAAGAATTCAGTTGGTTTATTTCTCCAAGCCTTGGGGACTTGAAATTGTAGTCTATAGGGACCATCCCATTCGGTTCCATTTGTGAACGAGAAGATCAAACTAAGAGCTGCAAACAAATAAATACAATGTAAAAATAGGAGACAGAGATTTATTCTTCTAAAATGCAACTTAAAGGGAAGTTTCTTAAATAAAAGTTTAAAACTCACCATGCTTGGGAATACATAACTGAATCGTATAAATAGGAGGATCGGCTTTTCCTCTGATTTTCTGGAGCATTATCCTAGGTTCACCACCGCACATGATAGGCTGGTTGAAACCTCCTGAATTCGAGTCTCAAGAATTCAGCATTTTGGTTCTAATTTTAGAGTGTGTAGCAGAATGAAGAAAATTGCAAATAGGAACGAAACCTGTTGAATATGTTATATGTGAATTTGAAATAGACATGAACTTACCATTAAAAGCGATTCCAAAATCTTCATTAGGAACCATATTGTTTGCAGCTGGATTGTAAAAAAGCTTCAGTCTCTCTCCCTGTCAAAAAGAAAATAAGCAACATTTAGGACCTCGATTAATAGGCATTCAGAAACATTATGTTAAAAAAGATATATTCATTTATTCGGATATTTGAACATACTGCAGTTGGGGGAAGACCATTCATTGTTTTCCAATATACTGGTGATTTTCCAAGGTCAAATTTAGCCCATGAAGGAAGAGCATATCTGTAACACGAACGTTTGGCGATTGTTAAACTTCCATAGTTCTATATCATGTATACATAGAAGAATATGCTAACTTTCTATGCATACAGAAAGTTATAGAGCAATTACTTTCGTTACACTTTCAACATATATTAAGTTACTTCATCCAATTTGATGCTAACAAAATTCAGTATGTCTCATTAGAAGGCGGAAGACAAGAGAACGGAGGAGCTTACTCTTTGATTTCCTCTGCAGGGGAAGTTGCAACGGCCGCAGCAACTATACCCTTACTAATCCTTACTAGTTTCCTTGTAGCTGGATGATATCTTCTCATGTGCGCGCCCATAAAACTTGTAGCTGCATTTTGAATAGACAGATACATTAGAGAAATGAAATTATGCCAATGAAATGGCATTAACACAAGTATTATAGAAGATAGACATCTTAAAAGATATGGAAGAGCTCAAAGAGAATTTGGCTGACTATATGAATCCTCTGTACTCATTGTACTATATTTTGGTTCTTATTCATTCCAATACAAAAGAAGAGTCCATGCATACATAATATCCTAGGTTTTTATTAGGATTGTAATAACAGGTAAAGTGATCTTCAAAAAATTATCCAAATTACAACATATTAAAGTAAATATATGCAGATCAAGAAAAAAAAAAAAAAGGACAAGGCAACAAGGTGCACAAAGCATCTCGCATTAGCAAAGTTCGGGGAAGGGCCGCATCCGGCTCAAGAGATGTGATGTAGACATGAGCCTACCCTAATTGCAAGTATTAGTGACTGTTCTCAGGGATCAAACCCGTGACCTACAGTTCACACAGAGACAACTTTGTTGTTGCTCCAACGCACCTCTTATCACATATCAAGAAAGTTCTATAATAATGGTTGAAAAAAGTTGAGACAGAAAAAAATTGGTACAAAAATTATGTATCTTACCATATATATTTGAAACAGAGGGACTTGCATTGGTATTAGAAGCAGAACGAGTTGCAGAAAATAAAGAGGGACTTGTTGATGCTGCAGCCATTTTGGAAGCTGTAGGATGAGAAAGATAGAAATTGGTCCAAATAAATAAAGGAGGATAACATATTGTAAGGTATAAATTGGCAACCACACAAAATACAAACTTTTTTTTTTTTCCTCTTAAATAAAATATCTCTTAGCCCCAAAACAAGACAAATCACTTCATTTTCACACTTTAGCATGAATCTTCCAACTCCCAAAAAATCTTCGTCTTAAAATCAACTAATTCAATTATCACCTAAAGTCTAAAGATTGAGATTTAAATGCTCAGATATTTTTCCTGATTATATTGTAGACATAGAGAAATACGCTATTAAAAATTCTCAAATTATAGAAAAAATTCAGAGAGAACAAACACAATTGCACCCACATTGTTTATCAATAAAATTATGTTTCTTATATTTTATTTGTTGTTGGTTATATTCCATACATTAAAATTTGTTATAAGCAAATTGACATGCCCAGTTAGGAGTGGTCATAATATGGTATATGTCGAATTACTATATCATATCAAAAATTTTGATATCGTGATTTTGGTATTATGATATTTGGTATGGTATATGATATACATTTTAAATTTTTTGGTATTTGATACGATATCTGATATTTAGAAACAACATACGGAAATACCAAATTACCATACCGAAGTATATAGTTACATAAATAACATATATATATATATATATATATATATATATATATATATATATATATATATAATACTACTTAACAAATATACAACCAAGTATTAGTATAAATAAAATATTTAGAAGTTAAAACTTTGACTACTCTATTTTGATTGAAATATATTTAAATACTAATTTTGAATAATTTATTTATTATTTTAATTATGAATATGACATAAAAACTAATTTATTTTATCATGTCAAAATTTTTTAATGATAAATTTAGTTGAGTGATTTTATTAATGCAAAGGTCTAAGTTGAGTGATTTTATTGATACAAAACAAAGTCCAATGCCTTTGTTAGATAAATTCTAAAAATTGATCAGTAATCTTTTAAGATATTAACTCGTCGTGTTCATGTATCTAATTTCAAATTACAGACAGTTGATTCAAGATTGAATATTAATCAGTATATATATATCTTTGTCTCTAAATTATTACACACTTAATTAGCATTACAAGTAGTGTGCAGAAGATTTGGCAAAAATCTTCAAAATAGTAGAATTTAACCCAAACTGAATCAAAATTATGTGTACTATACAGCATGTCATCAGGTTGAGCATAAACCTATATAAATCTGCTTAGAGAAAAATGGCGAGTGCAATTGAAGATAAACTTATCAGAAAACTCGCAAACACGACAGTTGAGGAAGATGGAGGAGGTGGAGTGGTGTCTGCCGGAGTATTTGAGGCTGAGGAATTAGAGCTTGAAACTTTAATTGCCATTTTTTGACCAGCTAAACAGTGCTCACCAACTGTGCAAATGTAATAATGATCCCCAAGAGTTTGCATAGTGATTTTTGCAGGCCCTTTCTTGATTGCTTCACCTATAGAATTTTGTGTATTGCACTCTTCATATGAACTTCTTGATACTTCTTGTACGTCATGGTTTCCTTCCGTAAATTTGAAAACTGGTCGACAATTCGAAACGAAAAAATAAAAAACAAGAAATGATATGTATTATGTATATATCACGTTTGAATACTTTTCATCGAAAAATTGTATGATTAGAATGTATAAACCAAATATTTCAAGCATGACTAGTTTAAGGGTAAAGGAAAATGAATATTTATACAAAGTGTTGATTTCTTAACTGTTGCATAAAAATCAGCAAATCAACATGTGGAGCGTCCATAACAGTTTAATTACTACCCCCTCTATTCACTTTTAAATGTCATGTTGCGCTTTTCAAAAATTAAATTGATTAATTTTCAAAGTTAAATTAGATTACATTAATTTGATTTTTTAAACAAAAAAAAATTAGATATTCAAAAATTATACGAAAAATACTATAAATTGCAACTTTTTTCATATCAATATGATGAAAAAATACATCACAAAATATTAGTCAAAATTTTTATCGTTTGACTCTAAAAAAGGAAACTATGAAAATTAAAAATGGACGGAGGTAGTATATTATAGTATCAATTATTCATATTTTTTTTGTGAAGCATATTTCTTAAAGTTCAAAATAATCGCAAATGGTGATTCTAACCTCTTCCTATTTAAGCGTTTTTATTCAAAGAGTTTATAGTTTTAATGTTAAAAGAGTTTTTAAAAAGTGGTCGAATATATCATTTTTTGAAATAAGTGATTTGTTAAGTGAATTAACAAAAACTTAGCACCATTCTAATACATGAGAAAGAAAAGTAACTTTTTGATGGAGTGGTACGCACTATTTCATCTTTCATCAAGAGGTTTCGGGTTCGAGTTCCCTTGGGTATGAAGTCGCCTTTGTTAGGACGGTCTACCCCTCAATGTGAAACTTTTCGGCGTGAATTTAAATTTAGTCGGATTCCAATGTGGGTACCGAACACTAGGTGAGAAACCAAAAATTAAAAAAAAAACTAAAAAATAAGTGATCTTTAATTTTAAATCAAAAGAAGGGATGATTTTGTTCACTTATTTACTTTAAATGTGTTTGACCTATTTTTTTTGTTCATTTCGAAATGAATTCTTTTCCTTTTTAGTAATTCTTCAATTCTAACTTTCCACCTACATGTTTTAACACCATTCAATTAAAGAACATTTTTATAATATCTTTTATTTTAAATCATCATATAAAAAAAATAAAATCAAATGACTTGAAACAGAAAGAGTACCTAAGGTGTCACCAATTTTGATTGTATTTGCATCAGCCCACATTGTGTAAGCTGCAGCGCCATTAATTGGTATAGACCAACCAAAGCTATCCCCAACTATATGATCTGTTTGTGCTATTGTAACTTGTAGCAAAATTGCCATAGTTAAAGCACCACAAACAAATTTCTCCATCTTCTCTCTCTTTTTTTTTTTTTGTTTTTTATTTGGGATAGAAAATGCTCTAGTTTTTTGCAACCAAAATAAAATAAAAATGATTGTAGGTTACTAGAGATATCCTATCTGAGACCTATACTAATTTTGTTATGCAAAATTTGCTTTATATATATAATGAAAGAATTTTTAATTGGTCTCAACTTTATGTTAATGGAAATCCACTACATTAGCAGCAAGTACGCGCAGCCACTACTTTCCATCTAGAACAATATATGTATGTGGCATATTTTAAATGATTATATTCGAATAAATTGGTCAGATGATCACTCAATTTAATTGAATAATTATGTAGTAAAATAATTTATCTTATTCTTGTATTTTGTAAATCACTCAATTTTTTGTAAATTAATCTTATCCAAAAACAGTCTATCTACCCAAATACTAACTTGAATAGATGGTGGTGAAAATATTTGTGATCCAGTCAAGATCCAATCGTTCCAATACCAAATAAAATGGCCTAATCTTAACTATAAAAATAATTTTTGATCTATATGAACTACAATTTTAATATATATAATTTAATTTTTCGATACAGAGAGTTTTCGATTGGTTGAGAGTATTGACTTCAAGATACATGCAAAGCACAAACACTGATCTCTGTATAAGATTTCTTGTTTTCATTTTCTTTATACTCATCAGCTTGAAATTAAGAGCCTCAAAAAAATAATTACTCTCTCAGACTCAATTTATGTAATATTTTTTTTATTGTTTGAGAGTCAAACAATTTAAGTTTGAAAGGAATTTATACATGACATCTTCAATTTTTTTGAAATGAAATTTATATATTTGTAAACTTCATAAAAAATATATTATAAGTCACAATAATTGACAATTTCAAATATTTAAAAGATATATGAAAAATTTACAGTCAAAGGTAAACTTGTTTGAATATTGAAATTTGAAAAGTGACACATAAATTGAGACGGGGGGAGTAATACTTTTTTAAAAAGTGCATATTAAAAAAGAATTGGTGACTCACATCACCTCCCCACCAGTAGGGGTGGGCATGGTATGATATAAACCGAATTATCATACCATCCCGAAATTCTTAATATCGTGGTTTTGGTATTATGGTATTTGATGTGGTATATGGTATTCATTTTTATTTTTTTAGTATTCAGTACGGTATTTGATATTTAGAAATAATATATTGAAATACCTAATAACATACCGAAGTATATAGTTACATAAATAACACACACACACACACACACACACACATATATATATATATATATATATATATATATATATATTATTATTATTATTATTATTAACAAATATGCAACCTAGTATTATATTAGTATAAACTAAATGTTTAGAAGTTAAAACTTTGACTACTCTATTTTGATTGAAATGTATTTGAATTGTAATTGATTAACAAAGGAGTTGTTTGTACTTTATTTTGCATGTACATTTCTACATGTGTAATGTGTTAGTATGATATAAAGTAGGACGTGAATATATTAAGTGTGTAATGTAAAATTTGTTCAAACATCCTGCACTCTTCTTATCGTCCACATTCACATTTACTTCATGTCTTATGAAGAAAATAATTACCTTTCCAGTAAAATCAAATCTAAAAATACCTTAAGCTACTGACTCTATTGTTTTGATACATGAAACACCAATTAGGAAAAAATGAAAAGATTTCTCCTACCAACATGGATAAGCAACAAATCACACTTTAATTTCAAAGTGATAATCACAGTTTATCTACAAATCTTAGTTTAATTTATCTGGGGTCTCCTTTCTCGCGCTGAGCATGTTATACACAGTTCTATATCAAAGCAAAATTAGCATTGCTATCTGGATCCCCATCTAATAATTTTCTACAATACTTCGTAGGAGTCACATCACGCCAAATATCCCTAGTTGCTCCATTCTCAAATGATAACATTAACGTCATGGTTCAAGTGAAGGAATAATAGCACCTCCAATGCATAGTAAAACTAATTATCGGCAAAACATTGAGACTTCTTAATCATTTGGCAAATTTAAATATTACTTTCCAACATTAACTGTCTAATACAAACAAATGCATGATGTAGCTTGTATTTGTTTCTCTCTTTTTTAAATAAAGATTGGAACCTCAATTCCTGCAAAATCAACAATAACAGTAACAGAAAACTCTTAATGCCAATTCTTTTTCTTTTAATGTCCTATAAGTTTCAGCTCTTCTAATAAAGCGTAAAAGTGTTTTCTCCTAGACTCCTCAATTCCCCATTATGACGGGATATTGGAACGAAAGAGTTACTAAATATAGAAAGTGACATCCATTTTAAATGGACTAAAATGAAAAGTAAAATATGTAAATTAAAACAAGGCATTAATTCTCACTTCAGGCCCTCCGGCAGTGCCACTCTCGGCTGCATTATCATTGTTTGAACTGCTAGTAGTATTAGTTGCAAGAACCTTGGGGAATTTAGTACGAAAATTATATTGTTTTTTGTTGGTAAGTGTAATATGGGAAGGGATAGTTAGGATTGAAGCGAATGTTGCTGTACATTTCTCTATTTTAAAATACGACATCTACCACCACTGACCACATCATTAATATAAGTTAGCCGGATCCGTTGAATGCCAACCGTTATTGAAATTATAGTATAATATTTGGATTAAATTAGAAGGGTATGAAGCGAGTTGGAAACTTTTTTAGTCTTTTAGTTTGTGGTGCTAAAGTAGCATAATTGCTTAGCCGTTTTTCCTCTTACGTATTACACTGTCTTTAGTGGAAAACAGACTGTTATAAACTCTCCCCATCCCTATGGTACTATGAGTGTACAACTACAATACCCTATGAAGATATTTTTCACTCTTCAAAGGGGTTGTGGGTTACTGTACTCTATATATAATTGACAATGTTAGAAATGTAATCAACTCTAACTTGCTGTGTGATTCCTTTGACTACCAACCTAGATTTGTACCTTTCCACACTTCATCTGACTTATGTTTGATTTTGTACACCCATTTACATCCAATAGATTTTTTGCCTATTGGTAGATGAACCAACTCCCATGTATCATTTGCATACAATGCTTCGAACTCTTGTGTCAATGCCATTTGCCAGGCAAGATTCAAGATTGCTTTCTCATAACAAGAAGGTTCTAACTCATGTGAGAGTGCCTTTACCAACTATTGACTGTTCCTTTGAGTTGTAATGCTAAACAATGGACAAATTGAATTTGAAACTAGGTACAAGTAACACTTTATGTAAAGTCAAGACTAGATTCAAACAAACATCTCCAATTTTATTTACTTTAGGACAATTATATCATAGGTCATATGGTATGATGCTCCCGAGTCTATGATCTAAGATCCAACACTCAATTTAGCACATACTCTTGCCTACATTTCTTATCAAAATGTAGGGTCCGGCGACATTGATTCTCACACTCGTGGCTAGGGTCATAGTTGATCAAGGAAGTGAAAATTTGGTGAGTCCTCATAGCATTCGAGGATTGGACCACCCCTTTTCCTTTATGTCTTTCTTTTCATGTTGGACTATTGTATGGGATGTGTCCCAAGATTTATTCTTATATTAGATGGTTTGAGACAATGATATTAGACTTCCGCTCGTTTATTATAGACTTTGATTGTATTGAAATTGTTTTAAATTTCCTCACCCTTTTCTATTACTTTATGTTATGATATGCTAAGTGGCTTGTATGAGGCCTCTCGGGGTCTTATACGCCTTGTTACATCTAGGGGTACCTTGGGTCGTGACAAGTTATGTTTGAACATTAAGTTGGAAGATATTATTGTAACACCCCAAAAATCTAATGAACTAAGCTAGAGCCTAACATGTAAACTAGTAGCCTAAACGGGGTTGAACGTAAATGTCACGACCCGAGAGCACCCCCAAGTCGTAACATGCGTATTCGACCTCTCGAAGGTATTATACAAGCCCTTAGTATTTATCACATTAGATATGTAAAATAGTGTGGAATTAAGAACTCTTTAAAACAAAATCCATAAGACTCAACGGTCATATTATATTTTTTAAAAACAGCTTTCAAAAGTACATAAGCGGAATACTAAGTCTCTTAGCCATCTTAGACATAAACCTGAAAACATACTAGGGGCACGGCCCTTTACAATCAAAAGAAGTCTACTAAGTCTATTACAAGAACCTTATCATAACACTAGAATAGAAAAGTCTTGTCCTCGACATATGAGGACTTACCACAAGATCTAGGAAGAACTTCAAATCCCAAGCTTACTATAGAACCCGCTCACTTGCCGGAACCCACACTTGTAGAAAATAGAGCAAAATATGGGATTAGCACAATTAAGTACTAAGTATGATGACCATGCTAAAACAGACATTTATTTGAGATATATGCTTTCATGCCATTTTTGATAAAACCTTCATATCACAATTATAAGAGACATATTTCATGTCATCATCCACATATAAGACAATACCCACATAATAGACATACTCGACTAGTACCAATGTACAATACATGAACATAAGCGACAAGTAAGCCTTTTCATCATTTAATGACCTCTATCTCAAGTTACCCAAAGCCACACTTAAGTGAAACATGAAGTGACCGCCCATACAATCTCTTTATATACACCTAAGTGTTCTTAAGGGTTACCATAGATAAGGAATGTACCATTACAATATAACATGCTAAGTCAAAATTCTTTAATGAACCACTTAGGAGACATTTAAGCATTCAGGGGACTTTCACATAATAGCCATTTAGACTTGGGGAACTCACTTTAGCATCTTCTAGGCCTACTCATGCAATGTGTAGATAGCATCCCATACTACCACCTACACTTTGTAGAACCTATCCAATAACTAGAGTGCACATCCCACATGATGGGAATAGACATTAACCGACATAGACCATACTAGCTAGGCATGGAATCCAGAGTCTACCCTATTCCGTGGAAGGTGTTCTACTTGCCAAAGGTAGAACTAATAAGCAACCCATGTAGGCACATGGTTTAGGGGATGTCCAAGGATGTTCATTGTGCCCTAGTCTCATACTTAAGTAGGGCCACCATCCTAACCACATCCACTCGGTGCTTAGCCTTAGTTCCCATAGAGTAATTCATT